ACCTGAAAACAACCCAGATGTCCCTCAACGGAAGAATAGATGAACAAATCGGTACATTTACACAATGAAATAAACACTACTCAGCTACTGAAAACAAGGAAATCATGAAATATGCAGGCAAATGGATGGAACTAGAAAAGATCATCCTGAGTGATGTAACCCAGACCCAGAAAAAAAAACACATGGTATGGACTCACTTATAAGTAGATATTAGCCATTGGGTACAGAATACTATAATTCACAAACCCAAAGAAGCTAAGTAACAAGGAGGGACCAAAGGAGGATGCTTAAATCTCACTCAGAAGGAGAAACAGAGTAGCCAGCAGAAGTGGTTGAAGAAAGGGAACAGGATAAGAGAGGGAACACTGAGAGAAATGAGGATGGGGTAAGATATGGGGAGAGCAGGGAAGGGAGAACAGAAGGCTTGCAGACAGAAGAGAAACAGGGGCAGAGGCATCTCTGAGACAAGCTGGAGACCTGCAACAGGGTCCATGGGAGAATATGGAGGTGACTCTAGCTGAACCCCTAGTGGCGAGGGTTATTGAGATTGGAGAGGCCACCCTCTAGCCAGACAGGACTCCTGATGGAGGGAGGGGAACACCAACCAGCCACAAAAACTTCCACCCAGAATTTATGCTGCCTACAGGATGTACAGGGATAAAGATGGAGGAGAGATTGAGGGAATGTGCAACCAATGCCTGACCCAACCTGAGACCCACTCTACGGTAAAGAGCCAACCCCTGATACTATTGATGACACTCTACTGTGTTTGCAGACAGGAGCCCAGCATGGCTGTCCTCTGAGCACCTCTGCCCATCGAAGAATCGAAACAGAATCTGAGACTCACAGAGAAGCAATGGATGGAGCATAGGGAGCCTTATGGAAGAGTGAAAGGAAGAATTGAAGGACCCGGAAGCGTCAAGAGTTCCACAAGAAGACCAACAGTCCTAACTAACCTGGGCCCAGAGGGGCTTGAGGAGACTGAAGCACCATGCATGGACTACAACAAGGCTCTCTATGTATATAGCCCCAGGGCAGCTTAGCCACCTGTGGGGACCTGAGGCCATCTCTGTTGCACGCTTTCCATCACTTCCCCCCTAACAGGCTGCTTTCCCTGGACACTGTGAAAAACGAAATACACAGTCCTGATGCAACTGGGGGTGCTGGGATTGGTTGGGGTGCTCCCTTTTTCTGAGGGACAGGGAGGGGAGATAGGGGGTGAGGAAGGAACAAAGGGAGGAACTGAGAAAAGAGGAGGGAGAAGGCTAAGATTGAGATGTAAAATGAATAACTAAATAAAAATAAATAAATTTTTATATGATGTATCAATATAATGTTTGATTTTCTTTTTATTAAACTTTTATTTTTTATATATTAATCACAGTTATTCATTTGTATCCCAGCTAGAGCCCTTCTCTCATTCCCTCCCCATTCCACCCTCCCTCCCTCATCTCCTCCCATGCCCCTCTCCAAATCCACTGATAGGGGAGGTCCTCCTCCCCTTCCATCTGACCCTAGCTTATCAGGTCTCATCAGGAGTGGCTGCATTGTCATCCTCTGTGGCCTGGCAAGGCTCCTCGTCAGGGGGAGGTGGTTAAAGAGCCAGCCACTGAGTTCATGTCAGAGACAGTCCCTGTTCCCCTTACTAGGGAACAAACTTGGACACTGAGCTGCCATGGGCTACATCTCAGCAGGGGTTCTAGGTTATATCCATGATTGGTCCTTGGTTGGAGTATCAGTCTCAGAAAAGACCCCTAAGCCCAGATTTTTTGGTTCTGTTGCTCTCCTTGTAGAGCTCCTGTCCTCTCCAGATCTTACTCTCTCCCCCTTCTTTCATAAGATTCCCTGCACTCTGCCCAAAGTTTGGTTATGAGTCTCAGCATCTACTTTGATACCCTGCTGGGCAGAGTCTTTCAGAAGCCCTCTGTGGTAGGCTCCTGTCCTCTTTCCTGTTTTCTCCTTCAACCATGTTCATAGCAGCTTTATTCATAATAGCCAGAACCCGGAAACAACCCAGATGTCCCTCAGTGGAGGAGTGGATACAGAAATTGTGGCATATTTTCACAACAGAATACTACTCAGCACTTAAAAACAAGGAAATCATAAAATTTGCAGGCAAATGGTAGGAAATAGAAAAGATCATCCTGAGTGAGGTATCCCAGATGCAGAAAGACACACACAGTATATACTCACTTATAACTGGATATTAGACCTATAATATAAGATAAACATACTAAAATCTGTACAGCTAAAGAAACTAAGCAAGAAGGAGGTCCCTGGGTAAGATGATCAGTCCCCACTCAGAAAGACAAACGGTATGTTTGATTTTCATATCTATCTTATGGTAGTATGAAAATTTCTCAGAGAAAGGGGCCACAGCAGAAAATGTGAAGACCTTTTTTTAAAATGCAATAAGATAATTGTGTGTGTGTGTGTGTGTGTGCATTCTTGTGAGTATTAAGGTGTACTAATAAATGGCTGCATGTCAGAAAACAATTTCAGCATCATTCCTCAGATACTATACACCTTTGGGGGGGCGGGGTGGAATAGTTGACCTGGAGTTTACTCACCTAGTGAACTATTCTGGCTGGCCAGAAAGCCCCAGAAATCCACTGAGATCTGGAATTAAAGACACACATTACCACAGCTTGCTTTTTTTTTTTTTTTATGTGGGTTCTGGGCATATAATTCGTGCCTTCACCGTTGTAAGATGATCATTTTACTGAGTGAGCTATAGCTCAGACAGTTCAACCTTTACAGGGCAGGTATTCATTTAAGGGTTTGGAGATGCAGCTCAGTTGAGAGTCGGAATGCTGGAGGCCCTGAATCCCCAGCACCACAGAAACTGGGCACGGTGATGAACACCTGTAACCCCAGCACTCAGGAGACAGAGACGGAAGAATCAGAAGTTCAAAATCCCTCCTACACTTCAAGTTTCCTAAGACCTTGTCTCAAAAGACTAAATGTATTGCTCTTGATTTTAATTAGTTTATATAGTGTTTTTTAACTGCATTAGTGGTTACCTCCTATTTCCTGACTTGTTTAATTTTTTTTTCTCTTTTTTTTAATCAGAAAGAGACAGGGCAAGCTTATGTTTTCTTTTTCTAAGATTTACTTCTATTTATATGTCTCTGTGTGTATTTGTATGTATGCATGCCGTGGAGGCCTTGGAGGCCAGAAGAGGGCTTGAGACTCCCTGAAGCTGCGTGGTCGTGAGCCACCCACCCTATGTGGATCCTCAGAACCAAATTAGAAGAGAAGCTTCTCTAATTCTCTTCTCCAGAAGAGAAGCAAGCATTCCTCACTGCTGAGCCATGTCTCCAGCTGCTGGCATTTAGGTCCACTGTGCAAGTGTCGAGCTTTATTATTTGCATGCGTTTACATACAGAGTGTGTGTGTGTGTGTGTGTGTGTGTGTGTGTGTGTGTGCGCCACAGTACATGTGCAGAGGACAACCTGCAGGAATTCGTTCTCTTCTTCCATCATATGGGTCACGGTGATTGAATACAGTTTCTAATGCTTAATGGCAGGTGCCCTGAGCCAACTCACCAGCGCAAATTTTAGGTTTTCTGTTTTACTCATTTCAATCACCATCTCAATCGCTTCCCTTACTACCATTTTTTTCTAATTAATATATATAGAGAGATATCTATATAGAGATATCTATATAGAGATATCTCTCTCTCTCTCTCTCTCTCTCTATATATATATATATATATATATATATATATATATATATATCCTACAATCCCAAACATATATGTATATACATTTGGCACTGAAGGAGATATCTGATTGACAGAGCACACATTCCACATTTGCAAGCCTTGGTGTTCGGCCCCCAGGACAAAAACATAAAATAAACTAAAATAGTAACCTGTATCCTATTCCCTCACATTAATGATTTTTCTTAACATTCAACAGTCTTCAAAATAGGATTGACTTGTATTTTATTGTTGGCCAACTGCCATTTCTACACTAATAGGAAACCCACAAGGCCTAAGAACTGAGGGTGAGAACTTTTATCCTCATAGCACGCCACCCTACAAAGACTTAAAACGCTAACTAATACAAAATAGGCATTCCAGAAAACAACTCAGTTATTGAGAGACCAAAAGATAAATTAGCAGCTATTAAGACCTAAAGTAGGTACCGTAAAGAAGTTTAGTAATGCCCTGAGGGGAAGTGCCACCTCATTGCATTCTTTCCCCACCCACTAGAGATACAGTTGCTAGGAAACTGGACCATCCCCCTAGGGAGGGACACCTGGTCATTCATGGTCTGAGAACCTTCCTATAGCCAATCAATTCAAAATGTAGCATTTTGACCAATAGATGCTTGCCAGGCAGGAATCACCCCTGCCTTGGGCGTGCTGGGATGGGCCAGAATCTATAAATCATCCAACTAACCTGGGCACAGCTCGAAGCGGTGGGGCTGTGTAGGCCCAAGCTGCAGCTTGTAATTTACAATAAAAAGAACCTCATGTATTTACAGCGGAGTCTGTTTATTCCTGGTCTTTTGGGGTTCGTGAACTGGGCAGAACATTATCACATGATTTCATTTTTTCTCACACAAAGAACACAAGATCTCTACTACTGTCCAGTTCTTCCACAGCTACTCTGGGCCAGAAGTTGCTAATGCTTGAGCTACATTCCTGAACTCATTCACAGAGCAGGAGCAGAAGGCTGGGAGGGAAACTGCCACAGGGTGCTGGTTTTACAGTGCGTCCATACTACTTCATCCCAAATTTTGACCCTAGCATCAGCAGTTCTGGGCTGCCTGCAGATGCTCAATGCCTTTCGCACACACACAAACTGACTCTCAGCCCTTGAAGGGTGTGACCTAGCTCCCAGCAGCCACCGCGCCCCCTCAGCGCGACCCAGACGCCTGGAAGGAGATAACAACAGCACGTAGACGCCTAGCTGCCCGGGAAGCCGCACACGCCCCTCCGTCCCACGCTTAGCCTTTTGGCCCCGCCCCCGAGCCGGAAGCACTTGCCGGCGCTTCCGGTGGTCCAGGGCTCGTGGTTTCCTCCGGGATGTCTTGGGTTCGAGCCGTTCCCGAGATCCCGAGCCCTGGGGATCAGGACGTGTTTGACGAGGAAGCAGACGAGTCTCTGTTAGTGCAGCGGGAATGGCAGCGTCACATGCGGAGACGAGTCCAAGTAAATGGGCGGGCATGGGGACGCGCGGGGAGGGGGGCTCCCACGCGGGGCGCAGGGGCTCCCGCGGGCACGGGGCACGCGGGCGCCGGCCTGGACCGAGAGGGACGGCCCTCCGACCGCGCCCCCAGGCCGCCCCACCCCTAGGATTTCCTGGTTGTTTAATTGATAGCCTTTTAAACGGGGGAGCTCTTAGAGAGCCGGGGCTGGGTTTGGCAGCAGGGGGACTGACCGACTAAAGTGAAAACTTTATTCTGTCCCTCAAGAGTCTGCAGTTTGAGGGAGCTGGGAGAAACGTCCACTGTCTAGGCTGTAATGGCTGGCAGAGAACGCGTGTTCACGGACGTTGTTCAGTGGGTGGAGAGTCCAGCGTTTGGCGTGGTGTTACAAAAGACTTGGGAAAGGTGAACTGAAGAATGTTGTCAGAGGACGGTAAAGGGAAGGGAATGCTGTTCCATATTCTACTTTAAAGGTTGTTCAGTCCGGATCTGTCTTCACCATACATTGAAGCTTGCTTAATAATATCTGGGTGGAAGCAGCTTAGTTCTGGGTGAGAACTAATTGATTAGATCTGTCTCCACATAGAGGTGGATTCCAAAGTATAATGATCTGAGTTCGATCCTTGGAACCCACATCGTGGAAGGATAGAATGGGTTCCTGGAAGCTACCCTCTGACCTTCACACTCAAGCTATGGGACGCAAGAAAATACATGTCCCCCCTCCCAAAAACAAAAAAGTAAATGCTACTTAAATATTTAAAAAGCAAAAGATGAAAAGAACTTCATCCTCCCATTAAATTACCCTTTTAAAACTGCAGCTGTGAGCTACCCTAATTTAATGTTCCAGTCCAACAGCCATCATGTCATTATAAAAATGCCTTAGGAATCGGGGGCTAGACCAGTATTAAGAGGACAAATCTCTACTCCGAAGTTCAGATTAGATTTCTAAACTCAGACTTCCTCTCCGCTCTTCCTAAAATAGTTTTCCTCTTCCTCAGTCTTGCCAGCCTCCTTTACTACCTGTCCTAGTCAGTTACCAAGAGTCCATATAAGTAGTTTTCCATTTCTTTGAAGACCTTGCTAACACAGTTTTTAAAAATTAAATAACAGCTGATGTTTAATGTTTACACAGTAACCCTAGAATTCCAAAGTGAGTTAAGGATATGACATTGAGGCATATCCTGTCATCATTTAGGAGGATGAGGCAGTAGGATTATGAGTTCCAGGATAGCCTGGAAATAAAATAAAATACAAACATGTGATAAGGAAAAACAAACCAATAATAAGGTCTTAGGAGAAACATTCTGCTTTGGACCTATGTCTCTGCCATATCGTATTTAGTTACCACAGTAAAAACTTGCTAAGTCTGTTTTCGAAACTGGTTCTGTGCTTTTCTAGAAAAGATTTACTTGGTGTCAGTTACAACTAGTTTCTTATTTTTAGGAAGGTTACAGAGATGGAGTCGATGCTGGCAAGGCGGTCACTCTTCAGCAGGGCTTCAATCAAGGTTATAAACAGGGTGCAGAAGTCATTATAAACTACGGACTACTCAGGGGAACACTGAGGTAATTTTAAAAGTTCAAGTGATAAGTCATTTCAGCCACATTTCTAATGGAGGCAATAGATAAAAATAAAACACTGAAGTGTTTTTCCTGATGTTGCATACATGAGTCTTCAGAGGATAAAGTGCTGCTTTCAAAATAGTTCTTTAAAAATTGTTCTCTTTTCAGCCACTTTAATATGTGTGCCTGATTCCTGTCTTTTTTTCTTTTTTCTTTTTTTTTTTTTTTTTGCAAAGATGTGGTAGGGAGGTGTCCATTTGTTGACATTTGGACTAGCCCTAATCACTACTGGTGAAATTTTGAGCTTGTAAATAAAGCTCTTTTTACTCACACATGAAGTAGAACAATGTATGGCAGGCCTGTCAGCTGGATGTCTATTGAGAAAGCTGTAACTACTAATAAAAAGAGGTCTTGTTTGTTTGAATCCGGAACTTTGAATACCTGTCAGGATGCCACAGCAATAATGCCAGTGAGCAGACTAAGAGTGGGCCAGGCCTCTTTGACAAGGATACTGTTTATACTTTACAGAGAAACAAATTGCCACAAAGAATCACGTGTTTGTTTTTGTTTTGTTTTGTTTTAAAGTGGAAAGAATTTTTTGTTTGTTTGTTTTAAATTATGTTGGGACCTTAATTACTTTAGAAAGCCTGCTGCTGAGTCAGTCAGTCAGCACCGGTGGATTTCACTTCTGCAGTATTTTCAGAGAGGCTTGTAGCTTAGAGTGTGTGCTCAGCATGCACACAGCCCCCACCAGTAAAAAGAGAACCATTATTTAATTATAGTGTATGAACAGTGCAGGGGGGGGGGGTCCCTGAGCTACTAAAAAGTAACAAAAATAATTAAATAGATTAGGAGTAGAATTCTTAACACATTTCAAGAAAATGAAAGCTCTCTTGGTGATTCGAGTTTGAGACCAAGATTTACAATGACTGGTTTAGAAGCTGTTTAGTAGCCTTAATGGAGAAACGGGGGGGCTGGTGCTGTGGCTCAGTATTGGGGTGCTTGCCTCGGATGCCTGATGCCTTAAGTTAAATATTGAGTACTGCCAAGAAAAAAAAAAAAAAAAAAAACCTTTGATGTGAGTTTGCATTGACAATGCTTTGTATCAGTAAGTAGCCCAGGATGAGGTTTTTTAAAGTACAAATGATAATGTTTTATCTTTAATAGTTTAGCAAGTCTGAGTTTTCTATTTTAAAATGAAAAGAAGAAACTGGTTTTTCTGGTCTTTCTGTAAATTATATCTTACTGCACAGAAGTTACATGGTCAGGGAAAATATAAAAAGTGGATACAGCACTGTGAAAGAGGGGATAGGATTTATAAATAGGTTATATGATTAAGTCTTCTTGATTAGCTTGTTTTAAAATATACTGTATTTGTACTTTAGTTTTATTTACATAGTTCCTTTCCTGATTTTGTCATGTGTTACTATTGCTAAGCTATTTCTGCATGGTGTTATCTAAAAGGAAAGCATGTAGGGCCTAGCATTCTAAATGCCTGTGACTATTTAATTTTTTTCCTATTTAACTCTTGTTTATATTTTCATTTAGTGCTTTGCTTTCCTGGTGTCATCTTCATGGTAATAGTTCGACTTTGATCAGTAAGATAAACAATCTTTTGGATGCGGTTGGCCAGTGTGAAGAGTGTGTGCTCAGGCGTCTGAAATCAGTCACTTGCCAGCCACACATTACAGATGTATTGGACTCCATTGATGATATGGACCTTTGCCAGGTAGTTCCAGCTGAGAAAAAGACTGATGATGCAAAAGATGAAAGACTCTGTGAAAATAATGCCGAGTTTAACACAAATTCTGACAGGAGTCCTAGCGGGATGGATTGCTCACATCCGGAATGTTGCAGAACACATGAGCACGCACATCTGGAGAAACCAAGCCTCACTTGGATTCTGGAACAGACCTCTAATCTAGTGAAACAGCTGGGAGTATCAGTAGATGTATTACAGCACCTGAGACAACTATAAAGCATCTGCCCTTTTGGGGTGGAAGTAACACTCAAGAATATTCCTTAGAGCACTGTGTATCTAGATGAGGTAACCACTGACTGAGCACTTCGCCTGTAGCTACCCTTCGTGGGAATATGAAGGGTCTTCAGCATTAACACTAGTAAATGGAATGTAAGCCTTTGTCTTTGTCGAGGTTTTTTAAGTTTTAGATCTTCTCAGAAATCTCATGGTCATTTTCAGATCTCTAATCAAAAATCAGTCATTGTTAGACTAGCAAAGCCCAAACATTTTAGAACAAGAAAAAAAAGGTAATGCTGCTTTCTGCTCCTGTCAGTATGAGGTTTAGGACCTCTTCACCAGCAAGCAAACCAAAGTCGCCAGAAATAACCTACAGGCTAGCATAAATAGGTAGAAGTAGATGTATAGATAGTTATACATTAAATCAAGACACTGTAGAAACTGACAAAATATCATTGAAAGACTAATAAAGAACAAGGTACTGAAACTCACCTTGTTTATGTATCGGTAAAGATGTTCAATTCCATGAAAAATAGGGGAAAAAGACATTTTGTGTTATAAACTATAAAGAAAAGGAACTACTTAGTTTTTTAGGTAGTGAGGAGTTGGCCACATTTTCTCAAAATGTAACAAACTATTTTGGAACTGCAGCTTTGTTATTTACATTGGAATTTTTAAAAACCCACTAAAGCTATTATTGCTTTGACATGAAATATATAATCTAGCATAGACAGAATGATGTTCAGATTTTTGTTCCATGACCTAGGATCAAAAAAAGGATTTTGTTGTTGTTGCTTTTCCTCACGTGAAGTTAATATGAAATACCTGACTTGAGAGGCACCAAATAATTTTTCCTTACTGGCAGCTTTACTTGCTATCTGATCAGTACTTAGCTGTGCTGAAAGATGATGCATTCCTGCAAGACTGGCAGGAGGGCCTTGTAAAGGACTGTAAAAATGCTTTGCTGGTTTCTTAAATTCCTTCTTAAAATGCACAGAACATTAAGAAATTGGGGCAGCAAAATCTGAAATAGTGTTGTAGAGTTTCCAGTGTATTAAACATGCTTAAAGTATCAAAGTGGCACTTGATGGCAGGGTTTTTATTTTGAAGCCTTGTTTTGTGGTACTGGGGATTGAATCTAGGACCTCATGAATGATTTTTATATTGAAACCTCATATCCACAAAATATTAAAGTCTTTAAAGTGTTAATGTTGCTCTCCGCTGTGTTTTACATAGAAATAACCATCTCCAACAGTGGTGGCCACTCTAAGTAAAGATTTGAGTGTAGTAAATCTTGAGATTTTATCTGGACATAGCCTTATAGGAGTTCCTAAATATAAGATCCCTTGCCATCATTAATTAGATAGCAACTGTATACTAAAGGTAACAGAAAATGAAGTCAGCTGTTAGCTGGGGAAGCTGGAGAGGTGGTTCAGTGGTTAAAAGCATTTGCTGCACCCCCATAAGTACAGGACCTAGTATCTACTTGAAAGTTAGATATGGTGTTGGGGTTGATCTGGAGTTGCTATTGTTAATTGCTTGTCCCCAAGACCATTACTGTTCTACGAGCAAATTCTCATGTGTCCAAAATAACTTTGTGTGGATCCTCGCCCCCCCCCTCCCCCATTATCCCTGATTAGCTAATGAAGTTGCTGACAGCCTGACTGGGCAGAGGAGAAGTAGGCAATTTAGGTTCCAGTGCTTGGGGTCACAGAAGGGCCAAGAGGAGAGAAAAGGAAGAAAGGAGCAGGTTGCTCTAAGTTAGCCTAACCAGGAGCATATGCCCAAGAGCAGCGAGCTCTGAGGACTGGCCTGATGGAACAGAAGCAGCCCAAGTGGAACATGTGTAAGTATTCCTGGGAATTTTGGATGGAAAGCAAACGAGAGCTTAGAGGGTTGATGTCTGTCCAGTTTGCGAGTCTTAAGGCTTATGATAAATAACAAGTTTCTGTGTCTTTTATTTATAAAATAACAGGTTAAGGAATGACTGCTACCTTATTAATATTAATAGAATAATTTCTTTTGCATATGCCTTAATTATATGAATAAATATTAATAATTCCACGACAGTATGGTCCCAAGCATACATTAACCCCAGGATGGGGTCAGAGACTGGAGGATTATAGGTACTTGCTGGCTTTCTGGGAGACATCCTGTGTCAAAGGAGTAAAACAGAAATTGCTAGAACATCTGATGCCCTCTGACCTCTGTGTGTGCGCATGAAGATGTGTACTCTCATACCACATGTGCACATATATACCACACACAAGAGGCTGTTGGGTTAGGGGGGAAACATCTTACATTTTATAAAAGTTCTAGAGAAGTTCCTGGACTGCAATGGTATGACCAACGGAAAACAGCAAAGGAAAATCTGCTTGGCTTGTGCCTTTTACCTTGCTTTCTGTGCTTGGAGCCAGCCAGCTCTCAGGAGGCCCCAGGTGAACATGAATGAAAAGGCAAGAGTACCCTGCAGCTCTGACAGTTTCATAGCCAAGAGATTGCATCTGAAATAAGGTACTGGTGCTGATACATCTAGATCTTTTTAAGTAAATGGGTGAGGAGGTACAATACTATGCTTGCCTGTCACTAACGTCACTGAACTACTAAGGCCACTGAATCGTGATTTGCAGAGGAAGTAGGCAGCTGAATTAATCTACAGGCATATTTATTTACAGTCATGTCATTTGTTGGGGATGGATCCTGAGAAATGTGACTTTGAGTGGTTCTGTTGTGCAAATATTAACATGTATAAGCTGCTTATGATGTCACTATGAGATAAGACCTTATGGGAGCATATCAGATCTGAACCCAGTTTTTGGCCAAAATAGAACTATGTGGCACATGAGTATTTGCGGCACTGCTTGCTAACTGTTGTCATGGTAAACCCAGATAAAGGCCAAGTTGTGATTCTCACTCTCGTCAAAGCTTTGTGTTCTAGTCTTAAGATCTGGGCAGAAATAGTTACATATGTGTATATGTAGGTTGGATGGATGGAATCTTTAGCTTACTTTTTTAGATTATTCCCAAGTTTTGACCAGTAGATGAAATAAACATGCTGCTCATAAACTACCAGCCAACACTTCTTGCTGTACAGAAATCTCAAATCTCCATTGTGAAGATGCTACACCCCCACAGACGCCTTTCATGACTGACAGACCGACAGAGCTGGATGCTTCTGCCTCACCTGCTTGCTGCCCACTCATACCAGCTTCATACTGCTTCTACCTAAGATCACTGTTAGGTGAGGTCACAGCTGCCCAATCACTGATATGTTATCACTCCAGCCACTTGGCTGTTCCTGTCCCCAAACATATTTAGCCTCCCCTTCCCATAAGACCCTCTGCTTCTCTTTATTCTTGCCCTAGTTACTACCGTTTTTTTTATTCTGTTAATGCTCCCTTTATGCCTGCTTCTTAAATCACTGGGGGTTTAATTCTTGGGCCCCTTTTTGTTTTATTGTTTTTGTTTTGTTGACTCTTAACTGGATGGTCTCACCTCCCATAGTTTGCACTGAACTATCACAAAGCTTAACATTTCAGCTTCCACCTTTATCCTAAGCTCCAGACCTAAATTTACAACTGCCTATTTCTCATTCCTATTTCAGTGGCTTAACATGCATATCCAGAAAGACAACCTATTCCTTTCTCCTCTTTCCTGACTCACTCTGGGTTTTGGCTCTCTTAATATCATCTGGGCTCATCCAAAGCTAGAAATCCAATGGTGTGTATTTACATCTTTGAAACATTTTGAACATTATTTGATCATTCAAATAATCAGGTTTTTCTTATTTTTGTTAATTTAGTTGGGTTTTTTGTGTTCCTGCTCTTTGTTTTCTTTGAAGTAGGGTCTCCCTGTTCCTAGATGGTCTCTGTGGCCTAAGCTGGCCTTGAACTGATGATAATTCTGTCTCTAACTTCCATATGCCAGGATTCAGGCATGCACTGTTACACCTGTCTTCATCAGATACTGATTAACCTTTATACCAGCCTCTCAGTCACAACTTCCTATCTGGCCCTATTCCTGTCGTGATTCATTTGTCTTTGCCTGCCTGGGACAGTTTATTAGACATAACCTTGTCTAGTTCCCTTTTTTCCACTTGTAAATTATAAACTTGAGTTTCAGTTATGGGTCCAGGCAGCATTGTCAGCCACATTTCCCATCTTGGCTCTTTCTCCCCACACTGCATTTTGTGTGTATTCCCAGACAATACTAAGGTACTACATTACAACACTACATACAGAGCTATTCTCAACCTCTGCTTTACTTATTTCAACTACTGCACATATCCATTGTACCCTGGAAATACCTACATCAACTTAAATTTCAGTTTTTCCCCCAGTGTTCCCTCTGCATCATGTAGAGCGTCCGTTAGCTTCAAAGTACTTGAGGAAAGCCTTATGCAGGGTTAAGTGCCCAGCACTTAGCATCCTACACTGTACAGAGAGATACACAGATAGCATTGGATGAGAGAAGAAAGTATAAGTGAGTCTTCCAGCCTAACTGAAAATACAACTTGGGATGTGGGATTCCAGAATACCCGTTTGGAGGAGATTTTTTTTCCCCTTTAAAAAGATGTTTCTGGGTCTGGAGAAATGGCTCGGCTGTTAAGATCACTGCTTGTTCTTCCTACGGTCCAGTTTCAGTTCCAAGTACTCACATGACAGCTCACAGACCATCTGTAATTCCAGTTATGGAGGATATAGTGCCCACATCTTGCTTCCATAGGTACTGCATGCATGTGCTACACAAGTATATGCATACATTTTTTTTTAAGCTACTCTTTCTGCATGTTTGTGGGATCCTGCTATTAAGGTTGAAGGCTACCATTTCTAGATAAGCTCTGAGCTTGGTATAAGATGACAGACTCCTTTGTCAGCAGGATTCCTTCTCGGCCTGAACTGGGGAACTCCAGATCTTCATAAGGAGCATCACATTACAAGGATGCTCTCAAGGACATTACAAGCCCAACCCTTTCCTGTAAGAAAGCGCCTGGGAATTCCTGGAAACACCCACCCTATGCTAATGAAATGTCTTGGTGTCTTGGCTTTCAACCATTGTCCTTGAACTATACGTGGAGCTCTTCCCCCACCCATAGGGTAATTAAGTCCTGCTTTTCCCCTCTTACAGTAGGACTGTTCTGTTACATGTAAATCAAGTATCCCTGGTACTCCTAATCCCAGCAGATCAAACACCCTTGGAACCCCTCCCACTGCACAAGGTTTTTAAGTCCCTGATTCACGAAATAAATGTTCACTCTCTGACTCCACTCCTCCACCATGACCAGCTGAGATTCATCATTTATTCTGGAGAAGGAAGGGCTCTCTGAAGAATTGCCACTGAATGCCCTGAGTTTGGCTGCCAATGAGGCAGCCACCAGCCTAGCCACTGTGAGTTTCCGGACTACCAGGAGCTTGACTGCTGGTCGGTCAGCCACCTGCTGCTGGCCGCTGTGCGCTCCTGCTGTTCACCAACGAGCAGAACTGCCTCGGCAGCTGTTGACCTGCAGAACTGTGTCTCACTGGACCTGCCCTCTGGTCTGTTTCAGGCTTCCTCCCACACCTCTGCCCCCAATACAGCAGCTTAACTGGAGTGTTATATCACTACAGTGAAGGGCCCAAGCAGCTGTGCTGCCATGACAGGCTTCATAAGATACTATAGGCCTGAGTTTCTGTTTCCTGGTAATGTTCCAACAGTTCCTTAGACCCTGTTTCTATTTCTCAGAATATGAAACTAGTTTATTTAATTTATTAAATGAGATTCAATAACCTCCTTGAAAATCAGATACAATAATTAGTAACCACCTTGAAAAGTCCCCAAGCATTTGACCCATCAAATTAAAGGTTATTTAGAAAACTTTGCTTAGCTAGTCAAAATGATACTGTTACCTGGGTACTTTTTGTTAGCACTCTTTGTTACCTGGGCAAGCCTTGTTGCTTGGACACTCCATGGAGCCCCCTCCCAATCCCCTAGATCAGCCCCAACCCATCAGTTTATGACAAGCTTGCTTCTGCTAAATGAGAACCAATCATGTAACTGTCCTCAAACCATAGTAAAAACCCAGCTTTGCAGCTGCTGGGATCTTCCTAATCCACTGCGTTGGATGGTATAGAGTCTGAGCTTAAGCCAGAAGTAAAGGCTCTTGGTTCTTGCATACGTGGTTGGTCACCTGGTGGTCTTTGGGGTCTTTGCAATCTGGGCACAACACAGTATCATCACAGGCTTTTGGAATGCCCGAATTTCCACTGCCTTCTTGTACCAATAATCTCATTTTAAAAGAGCTAACTAACATCCAGTGGAAAACTAATGTCCACCTCGCCAAGTGAGACTGGGAGCTTCACCTAGTGCATGGGCCTTGCCCTAAGAGCTCTAACTGTTCCTGGGGGAAATCGAACCTATGATTTTGGGGGTTCCTCTGTTCCTGCCTAGAAGCCAACAGCACCTGGACCATCCAGATGGAGAAACATGCTTCATGCTTCCTACATGGTGCTCAGCCCAGCAGCAACAGCAGGGGACACAGAACAACACATGTTGATGATAAAAAGCCCACACATGCAAATTGGGTCATCATCTATTTATAGCAGGATAAATAGTAACTTCAAGACAACAGCATTACCAACCCTTAAAAATTATACTGAGCTGAGACTGTTAACAGTAGTCGAGCATTTGCTTAGCTTACATAAGGCCCTGGGTTCAAGCCACTACACCACCCGAAAGCTATACTAATGAATAAATATTATTACACTGTAATGCTAATTTAAAACAAAAGTGTATTTGCTAGTTTCAGGTATTGAGAAAGTGCAGAAAGAAACGACACAGAACTAAACGGGAACAGTTTAATAAATGCTTAGTTTTCAGCAGGGTTCATGGAACACAGTTTTAGTAACAGGAGTTGGCATTAGAAGTCATCGTGAATACAGTGTCTAGTGTGCACAGGCCCTAATCTAAAAGCTTCACATTTATTAATTTGTTTAATCCTTATTTAAAAAAAAAAAAAAAAAAAAAAAAGGACTGTCAGATATCCATTAGCCCCATGCTAGAGATGAGGAAACTGAGGCAGGGAGCAAGCTGAGTAACATAACCCAAATTCAAAGCTGCAAAATGGCACAGGTGAACAGTAAAATCAGGTAAATCTGGCCTCAGACTTCGTTAGGTAGATGCTCGCTAAATAACATGGTGGCCGTGGTAGGGTTTAATCCTGGAGCTAGGAGCTCTATTTCCCCCTTGTTTTCTTCTGTCTGCATTTCACAAGTCTTCCCCTGTGAGCAAGTGTACTAGGATTCTCAGGAGAAACCACCCTGAAAGATCAATGCAGGTTATTAAAGGCTTTGTTGCATCAGATTACACAATAGGGGCTTTGCAAGCCAGCAGTGGCTTTCCACGCGTTGGAGAGGCTGAGAACCTGGTAGCTGCTCGTCCTCCAGTGGGGTGCCTCAGCAGTCCAGGCATGGCCCTGAAGGCTAGAAGATTCCCAGAGAGCTGCTGGTCTTTCATTCACATCAGAAACTGGTTTCTAATGCTAATCCAGAATGTTAATGGTGACGGCAGCAACAGAACAGACACCTTCATGGACAAGAAGTGAAGGCAGGCGATGCTGCTGTTCTTGGGACTTCTTTATATCCGGGGTGCCACCAATTCTTGGGGAGTCTTCTCCCCTCAATTACCCTTGGGTATGCCCTCAGACTTCCACAGACGCACAGCTCTTACTTGATTCCAGATGCAGTACCGCCGACTGCACTAACCATCCCAGCAAATATTGTTACAGTAAAATATTGTTCTGGCAATGGGAACGGTAACCAGAAATTAAAAGGAATGAAGTGTTCTCAGACACGTGCTACACACTTAGAAAAGAAAAATACCATTCCCCACTTGAAGGAGAAAATCACCTCCAACGTGGTATGGCAAATTGTGTTTAGCACATATGGAAGCTAAATTCTCAAACTCCAGTTGGTGTCACCCATTTTGTTATGGGGCTGAAGGCATGGCTCCACGGTTAAGAGCATTTAAGTTCAGTTTCCAGAACCCACATGAGTTGGCTCACCACCACCTGTAACTCCAACTCTAAGGGATCT